GTTGGAACTTCTGCAGGTTGATTATAAAGAAGATACTATTCAACAAGTCAGGTCTTCAGCATCACAGATACAGCTTGGTGCTGAAGGTTATGAAAGGCGATAAACAACAAGCAGTGTGTCCACTAAGCAGCTCAATGCAGAGGAGACACAAACCCTCTGAAAATATGATGTGCTAAGGGCTCCCACAGAAGCAGATAAACCTACCCTAGTGCCAGGGCTTGGCCAGCTCAGGGTGTGGCCTGAGCAGTCCCAGCAGGAGGCACAGGCAGAAAGAGGGTGCCAATTTAATCCAGCTGTGGTGTGTAGACATGGTGGCCTCTCAGAAGCCACTGGGATTCCATGAGTCATTACAGTAGAGGACTCATGATTGGATCTTGGCGGCTACATAAGAAGAAAGAGATAGGGCCCAGCGTGGTGGCCTAGTGGCTAAAGTCCTCACCTAGTATGTGCGCTGGGATCCCATATGGACACCAGTTCTAATCCTTGCAGTTCTACTTCCCATCCAACTCCCTGCTTGTGGCCTGGGAAAGCAGTCGAGGACGGCCCAGAGCTTTGGGACTCTGCACCCATGTGGGATATCCGGAAGAGGTTCCTGGCTCCTGGCTTCAGATTGGCTCAGCTCCGGCCATTGCGCTCACTTGGGGAGTGAATCATCGGATGGATGATCTTCCTCTCTGTTTCTCCTCCTCTCTGTATATCTGCCTTTGTAATAAAAATAAATAAATCTTTAAAAAAAGAAGACAGACTTAGAAAAGAAACACACATACATATACCCTCTCTCCCACCCTGTGAGGCTCTATATAGACTCAGGACTCTGAAAGCAAGGCAGACATAACCAGATACAGCCTTAGACCTTGCACCTCCATCACCGAGAGCCAAAGGAAACCCCTTTTCTTGGTAAAGTTAAGCTGCCTTGGGCACATCACTATAGTAACATGAAATGGGATGGCACAGGGAGCCTAATCCATAAGCACCAATGTCCATCTTGTTTTCCACCATCTCCCCAACAGCTAGTGCAGTCCCCAGCCCAGAACTGGTACTTGATCACTGTTCCACAAATCCCTTCCAAGGGCAATCCCTTGGCCCTTGGAAAATCAACAAATTTGGCAGACAGAAGAGCAGATGTGAGAGAATGAACATTCCAGGCAAATGACACAGGATGTGTGGAAGCACACAGGGGGGAAAAAACTTAACACAAGTATAGGAAAACAAACATGGCATGGGGGCTCCAGGACTGGTGGGAGAAGAGCAAAAGGATCCCTGGCCTCAAATCTCAAAAGGCAAAAGGAGTCAGCTTGGTCTGGCACGGCCCTGGGACTCCTTTTGTCACTATGTTGACAATACACAGACAGCACTCCTAAAGGGCATTCCACACTCTGCCTCGTGTGCTCGTCTCTTATATCAGTCACCGATTGAAGCTGAGGTCAGGGCAGTGGTGGAGGTACCCCATGGAGCAACACCATCTCTTCCCATCCCAAACATGTCCACCCACTTATGTAACAATTACTGGCTCAGTATCTTGGGGTGCCAGATTTTTACGGGGTGCTGGAAAGACAGGTGTACATGAAATACACTACCTACCCAAACAGTGCAGGGTAGAAAATGCAGGTGATGGGCCCGTCAATGTAACCTAGCAGCTAAATCCTTGCCTTGCATGTACCAGGATCCCATATGGGTGCTGGTTTGTATCCCGGCTGCTCTACTTCCCTTCCAGCTTCCTGCTTGTGGCTTGGGAAAGCAGTCGAGGATGGCCCAAAGCCGTGGGATCCTACACTGTGTTGGAGATCCAGAAGAAGCTCCTGGCTCCTGGTTTCGGATTGGCTCAGTTCTGGCTGCTACAGCCACTTGAGGAATGAACCAATGGACAGAAAATATTTGTCTGTCTCTCTTTCCCTCTCTGTAAATCTGCCTTTGCAATAAAAATAATTAAGTATTTTTTTAAAAGAAAAGAAAGTGCAGATATCTACACTGTGGGAATTACTATGCAAAGTGCCATGCCAAACACCAAGATAAAAAATTTTTCACTTCCCCCAGGGACTATCAGGGATAGCCTTAAGGGGCAAGCAACTTGGAGCTGAATTTTCACAGCTAAAAAAGGGGTCCACTAGATGGAACAGGAAGAGAAAGGTAGTCCACACAGAGTAAAACACGTAGGAGGATCATGAAGACGCTATCCGGCTCTTTGGGGGCAAGCGGAGGGTAAACTGGTAGTGCTAGACAGCAGGCAATATGTGTACACTCCTGAATCCATCATGGAGATTTCTGGGTTTTAATATGTAAATGCTAGGCCATGAGATAATAAATTCTAGGTGGAATTGTGATTTGGTTGGATTTGTCAATGAAATGACTGGTAGAAGGGCCTGCATGTTGGCTAACTGGCTAATCCTCCACCTCCATGAGTTGACAACCCATATGGGCCAGTTGGTGTCCCAGCTGCTCCACTTCCCATCCAGCTCCCTGCTTGTGGCCTGGGAAAGCAGTCGAGGACGGCCCAAAACCTTGGGACCCTGAACCTGTATGGGAGACCTGGAAGAAGCTCCTGGCTCTTGGCTTCAGATCAGCTTAGCTCTGGCTGTTGTGGCCAGTTGGGGAGCAAACCAGTGAACGCTTCTTTCTCTCTGTCTCCTTCTCTCTGTAAAACATCTTCCTGTCAATAATAATAATAATAATAATAATAATAATAATAATAATAGTAAGGGCCTGGTGTGGTGGCTCATCAGCTAAAGTCTTTGCCTTGAACACACCGGGATCCCATATGGGTGCTGGTTCTAATCCTGGCAGCTCCGCTTCCTTTCCAGCTCTCTGCTGTGGCCTGGGAAAACAGTCAAGGATGGCCCAAATCCTTGGGACCCTGCACCCACATGGGAGACCTGGAGGAGATTCCTGGCTCCTGGCTTTGGATTGGCTCAGCATCAGGCGTTGTGCTCACTTGGGGAGTGAATCATCGGACAGAAGATCTTCCTCTCTGTCTCTCTTCCTCTCTGTATATCTGACTTTCCAATCAATAAATAAATCTTAAAAAAAAAAAAATCAGCTGCAGAGTCCCAAGACAGGTGTGAGGAAAACAGACTCAAAGTTCCCAGCCCAGGGACAGCAGAGCCTGTCGTGAAGGTCCAAGTGAGGAGGGAGGACAGCCTGTGCCTTGGGGTTAAGGAGAACACAGCGGAGGGTGGGGGCAGTGCAGACCCAAAATGGGATATGTGTACATGTGTGTGCAGAGGCAATCCTAATGCACCTCTCCAGTAAAGATGAATATAGGAAAATATCTCCATCCCAGCCCCTTTTAGGATGTGACTTTTTCGGGAGTCAAGCACTGCATTTGACTTTGAGCTCCCTGGAGGCCCACACAAAAAGGGAGGCATGGTGGCATGCACATTTCTCACTGTTTGTTCAAGTATTGTACACCTGATGGAGAGAGGCTGGGAGTGGTTAAGCCTGAAAGGGAGGGAGTGGCACACGTGTGGCTGATTCTGAGGGCTCTGGAGATGTTTCTGGGACTCTGGATTCTTCCCACTTCACTCTGTTCTGAAAGTGGTGGTACCACAGTGCAACAGCGAGCCCAAAGCTGGATCAGAAAGAGAGCCTGGGACATAAACTGGTCAGCCTGGAAACCCGACTCCTTACCCTAGTGCAAGGTGGACTCCACACCCCTTCTCACTTCTCCCACCTGCCTCCAGGTCTTCTTCCCTCCAACACTCATGGCCGTGTCCAGTTGCAAAAGAGCAGCTGAGCAGGAAGCTGAGGACCAAAGACAGGATGGAGGGATGAATAGGATCCACCCAAGGGGACCCAGCAAGTGAGGGCTCTTTTGCTGTCTGAGTTTGGGCGTTTCTGCTGTTCTTCTCGCGGCGTCATGTTAATTCATGGACTCATTCAGTACCAGGTCTGCAGGGCCAACCCTGGACCGGGAGGCGGGAGGCGGGAGGCGGAGGTAAGGACCCTGTCCTCTGGGGAGCATACCCTCACTAGTGCTCACTGGACGCGCTTGCCCCTGGTGGTCGCCACTGCCAGACAGGTGCAAGCCTCACCCACAGAGCCAAGGAACAGGAGACTCCCCAGGGTCTGAAGGGTGAAGCGACTGGACAACCGCCTTTCTGAGCACCTAAAATAACGTCCCCTCCCCACTAGGCTAGATGCTCCAACGTTGATCATCACAGCTCTGTAACTGTGGGACAAGTCGAAGCTGGGCTAGCTTGCCCGCACGCCAGCTGATTGAACAGCCCCAAGTACCTTGATTCCATCCAGGTGCAGAGGAGTTCCGCGCCCACGCCTCCCCATCGCCCTACCCCAAACGGGTTAGCGCGATCTCCGCAGCCTCCCTGGTTACACCACAAGCGCCAACACCCACTCCTCCTTTGGTCCCACCTGCTGTCTCGGCTGGACCCCCCCAAACCTCCACTGCATGCTGGTATCCGCGGGGCGTCAGGGGTTAACCTCCCCCTGCCTGGCCCGGGTGGACCCTTCCCCCCTCCGCAGCCCCCTCGCCTCCACTCGGCGCGGCGCCTGGAGCGCCCGGCACGGGAGAGGCGGGGGCAGAGTGGGCCTGTTTCTCGGGTGGCCAATCCACCGAGCCCGCCGTGCCCCCAGAGGAGGCGCCAGCGCCGGGCCAGCGCCAAGCCGGGGCTGCCTGCTTCCCGCGGTAAAGTACAAATGCGCCCGAGCGAGGCGCCTGGCGCCCTGGGCGTGCTCAGCCTCTGCCGCGGCCGCTGCTGGCCCCGCACGCCTGGCCCTCGCTGTGCGCCCTGCGGACCCCTGCCCTCATCGCAGCCACCTCCTCCTCTCCCTCGCACTTCTTGTGCTCTCTGCAGCCGGACTGTCCTCCGCCTCCACACCCGCGTGCTCCTACCACTTCCCTCTCTCACCTACCTGCCTGGCTTCTGGTCCCTGCCGTCCCTTCTCTGTCTCGGCGCTCGTAGCGCTCCCCGCGACCCCGCAGGAGGACCGTGTCCCGGTATCCTCATCACGTTCTCTGCCGACGCCCCGAGCCCGGGCCAGGAAGGATGTCTCCGGAGGTGAGGGTGCTGCCCTCCTTGCTGGGACTTGCGCTGCTGTGGTTCCCCCTGGACTCCCACGCTCGAGCCCGTGAGTACAGACGGTGGCTGGGCGGGCAGTGAGGGATGCGCTCCGCGGGGGGGACATGCAAGCGAGGGCCAGGACCTGGGACCACCCCTCCCCCACCCCACCACCCCTGACTGTCTGACGGCCATCCGGGCAGCACCTGCGCAGACAGGGCTGGAGACTCCTTGGAGACCAGAATGGCCGGTGAGTCCGGGGCAGCCAGAAGGGTGGGACACTTGGCAGGACTCAGGAGGGGGCTGCAGCCGTGCACTAGAGGATGCTGGGGTAGGGGGTTTGGGGCAAGGCAGATACAGGAGCGAGCGGAGTGTGTTTGGCTGCAGGTAAGCGGTGTGAGGAAGGCAGGATGGCTATGGAGGGCCCTTGGGAAGAAGCAAGCAAATTATGCTACCCATGCACTGTTCTCTGATTCTCACCCACCCAGGTAAAGTGTGCATTTCCCAGTGAGGAAGCTTAGGGAAGGGACTCACTCGGGGCTGAAGGGAGGAGGGGTGCAGGGCAGCTGTAGAAGCACCCCACGGGTCACCTAACTCAGGCTTCCCACCTGGACAAAGGTGACCTCCAAGAGATGGTGACATCTCTCAAGCCCAAATCCTCACTGCCCCTCAGCAGACTGGCCAGTCTCCCCGAATGCTGTGAGGATGGGCAACCAAACCAGAGAGTCTCCTGATGATGAGAAAGGAGCTTAGTTCAAACCCTGAGATACATGGCAGACATGATAGCCAAGAAGGGGCCACACGTGGCAGATCTCCCATTCCCCAGCCCCCAGCCTGCTGCTGTTTCCTGTGCACAGCATAGGTCCTCTGTCTGCATCTTCCTGTTGCATGGAACTTTCTGGAGTTGGTGGTGCTGGCTTTGATCTTGCTCTTGTGTTGGCTCCCCAGGGCAAGCTGTGTGTCTGGTCCTCTCTGTCTTGCCCACACCCTGAATCAGAGAAGTCCTTGCAAGTGGGCAGTGGGAAGAGTTCAGTGTTGAGTTCCAATTCTGGCTCCAGCCCCTGTAGTGGTGTGAATCTGTGTGAGTCATGATTTATCTGGACTTCAAGTTTCTTCTCTGAGAAAGATTCCAATAGGGAACCTGAAGGGCTCATGGGAAGCTGAAAGGAGGCAATGTTCTGGGGGTCTCCTCCTCCTGGAACCTTGGGGGCTTCCTCCTACCACCTGCCTGTTGTTTTTAAAGAGAGGCTGAGTGCAGGATGTCCCCCACACTTGCCACTCTTCCACTTGGCACTGTGTCGCTCAGTTCTCAAGCTCTCCCCCAGAGAACCCTGGCTTTGTTGCATCTTGGAAATCAGTACAAGGTCGCTCGCATACTAAACACTGTTGCCAGCCTTGCTTCAGGCTCAGCTCTTCCCGCTACCTGTTCCTGGGGACTGGATCCCCTTCTCTTGCCTCCATTGGCCTCCTGCACCCTGCGCTGGGTTCTGCCAGTGTCCATCTCTTAAACAGAAGTTCCAGATGTGTGAGGAAGAGACTTGGAGCAGACTCATGGAGAGTTATGGTGAGGGGAACTGATGGTTAACAGGGAGTGGATCCTGAGATGTCACAGCTGGATAAGCCTTCAAATCCATCTGCTTCTACCATGGCTTCCAGATCTTTGTAGTTCAACTGAAACCCCAAGAAGGGGAGTGACTTGCCTCAGGTCACATAGTGAATTATTTAAAGAACAGAGACCTGGATCCTTCTGGTTTCTTGATTTGTCCTTTAATGGTTGTGTCACTTCCCTTTTCTGGGCCTCATTCTGTCTTGTACCAAGAACCCATGTATCTATAAAGGCAGGCCTCTTGAGAAGGCCTTCCTCTAAATGCAATCTCAAGCATGCTATGGGTGAGAAATTTCCTGCTGACTTCTTAGATGCTTTCAGAAGTGGAGCCAGCAGGGACCCTCTCTAGTCTTTGTGCAGTCATTGGAAGAGACCAAGCCTTGCAGAGTGCTAACGTCAAGGCTATGCAGACAGAGCTGTCTCCAGGTGTAGTTTGGGCCCCAACTCCAAGTCATTCTGAGTTTTAGTTGTAGCCATGGGCTGAGCCCTAAAGTCTACAAGTGGGAATGCAGACTGAAGCCCAGTTCCACCCCTAGGTTTGAACCCTTCCCCAAATTGGGTCCCTGACCTGGCTACTAACTGGCATTGTCCACAGCCCAAGGCTGAGCCACATCAGGTTGTGATGTTGGCCACTCTGGGCACCCCTCTTGTCTGTGGAGCAAGGAGCTGACCTCACTCTCTCTGCAGGGCCCTTCCCCTTGGTCAGCACCTCTCTTCTGTGCTCCTCTCTTACTGCTCACCTTCTTTAGATCGCTGCTATGTCACTGCTTTCTCTTCCTCCTCCAAAGGGAGTCTGCCAAGTGAAATGCCTGATCCTGACCCTTCTGCCATTTCTCCAAGGATCTTTTGACTTATGGGGATTGACGGTGGTGGAGTCCTAGCCCCTGGAAGGCAGGAGGGCAGTTCCGTTCAGTGTGATGTGGTGCACAGGGCATGCTGAGAATGAGCTTCAGCCCCTCGGCCATCAATCCCAAGTGTGGCCAGAGCGGGGTGCCTGTCTGTGCAGTGAAATGGCTGGAATCACGTGGATGATCAATATGGATCCAGCCACTTTAACAGCTCGCAATCTCAAACCTCTAGGATCCCCAGATGTTGTGGTCTTGATTCTACTATTCTACCCTGCCAGGGCACTTTCTTGAGGCCAGCTTGGTGGCAGTTACCTGTCTAGATGTGCATCAGGCAGTGGGAGACACCTGGGCCAACGTCTCAAGTCCAGCTTCACCGGCCCCTGTTCCCAGCTCCAAATAGGATGTCCTGTAACACCCACTTCCACCAGTAGAGGTCTCTGCTTCACTCACTGGCTTGCAGACTGCTAAGCCTGAGCTGGGCAACAGCTGCGCCATGCTCCAGCTGTTGCACCTGTTCCAAGGACTGGCCTCTCAAGTTCCCCCAGCCGCCAGCCCCGGCGCCGGGCACCGGGACAGGGATCTTGAATCCCTTGGACTCCTGAAGAATCCCTTGGATAGGGTGAGGTTGGTGTCCCTGTGAGGTGTGCTGAGATCATTTTGGGTGTGTTCCTATTATAGTACTCCTGTAGGCAGGGTCCCATCACAGAGAGGGCTGTTTCTTGGTCTTCTGCAAACCATTCCTGTGCTTGGGAGCTCTTCCTTATAAGACGTCCCAGGCAGCACAGGAGCAGTTTCTTGGCGGGTGACAGTTTCTCTTCCTGGTCTGATGGTTCCCTCCTCTGCTGTGCAGTTGCCGTGTGCCAGGGGTCAAGCTCAGGGAAGCGCAGTCAAGTGCCTCTGCCTGGGTTGCACAGCCCGGTCACTGATTCCCATAAGAGCCCTCCCCCTTTGGGTGCCCGAGCCCAGAGCAGAGCTTGTGTCTCCGAGGGGAGCAGGCTTGTTTGTGTGAACAGGGGACTATAAATAAACGGAAAGAGTGTGGCTGTGGGGGTGTGAGGCACAAGATGTAAACCTTTTCACATTCCTGGAGCAGTCTGGCTCACCCAAGTTCCTGCAGGCTGGGGGCAAGCCAGCCAGCCACAATCTTAGACCTCACTCAGTTCTCGGGGTGGGGGGCCCAGGCCAGCCTTTCTCCAGCCTAGAAGTATCTTTCTGGCTGTCTCCTCTGCTTCCACTGGAGTGAGTTTCCTTCCACATGGCTCACTCCTACTCAACCCCTCCTGGGCCTTCATCATGATGATGGGAAAGCCTCAGGTGGGACTGTGGGATGGAGTTGGTTGGGAATAGTTGGGAAATGCTGATTTATCCGTGAGGCTTCCAGAACCACTCCTCCCCCAGCCACCCCAGGGTGCTATTTGCTTTGGCAGGTGATTTGGGAGTTGAGATGGCCAGGAGCTGGAAAGGCAGGCCCGAGTCCGTTGCTGCTGAGTGGCCAGGTGTGCAGGCAGAGAGACAGGCGGCGGCTTGCCTCACCTGTAGAAAGAAAGCTCTCTTTCTGAAGAAGAGGTCTCCCTTCCAGCACTGCTGGTCTAAAACCGCTCCATTATCCATTCACTCACTCCTGCGCCAACTCCAGGCTCTGCACTGAGTGCAAAGTTCAGCGGGCTCAGTTCTCACTCTCAAGAAAGGAGAAAAATCCACTGAACCAGCATTTCCACTCCACTGGGGAGAGGATACGATAGAGGCTGGAACTCAGTCTTCCTAAAGGAGACTGGTGGCCTTCCAGGTACCCGTAATGGTCAAACAATGTTCGTGCCCTAACAGAAGCCTGGGCTCTGCCAGCTAGCATTGCAGGAACAAAAGAAATTCCACAAGAAAACAGATGATTAAGGAAGCTCAGAGTCAATGGCCAGATCTGGGCATTTTGTCTGGGTTTTTTCTTCTACTGTTTAATTGAGCATCTAGTAGGTGTCGGGCACTAGGCATGCTACCTGGATTATTTAATTGAATTCTACATTAACTGTGTCAATGGGAGTGATTAGCAGACTCATTTCCAAGGGCACAGAGACCTGACAGGGTTAAATAATTGGTCTAAACTCAGGCTGCTAATAAAAGCCAAGTACACGATGTGAATCCTACTGTACTAATCCCGAGTAAAAGCTACTTGGCTTCTAGGGGTGGTGAGAGAGATGTGGACAGTGGAAGGAGGGATGGCAGAGTGGGAGAAGAGGCAGGGAAGGCCACAGAGGACCAAGGGGACGTAGGGAAAGGGAGGCTATAACATTGATGATGAGTGGCTGCTGGAAGCTCACTGTAGTTCATCCTGGAGCACAGGAGAGGACCATCTACACATCCACTAAGAATTATGGTGTCTTGGGACAACCCAAGCTTAGAACCACACATAACATCAGCCAGTTCTAGACGCCTTCTTTTCCAGTGACACAGAGGCTCTTTAAAAAAAAAAAAAAAGCCTTTGCAAATCTTGAGCCTTAGAAACCTAGGGCTGCAGAATCTTAGCATCTTGCAGTTATGGGTTTATAAACTACCTGAGCAGAAGGCCTTTGAGAGGATCACAATTCACCCTCCCTCTTAATTCGCAAATGGAAAGCTGAGGTTTCTGGAGAAGAGCCACACCATGAACTTGCAGTTGAAGGAGCCAGCAGTCTGCCCAGCAGCCATGCACCGGGACTGGGTGCAGTGCCAGGCCTGTGGGAACCGAGGCTGCCTGGGCACTCTCCTCCAGGCAGTGCCACTGCTCCTTGTGCCTCTCACCTTGGAGGGCATGGTGGGGTGGGGATTGTGGCCACGCTAGGCTTCCTGCCAGGCCCCCCACATTCTCAACCTCTGCCAGGTCTACTGGTAGAGGTGGGGCTGGTGGCAGTGCAGGGCTCTTGGCCTAGGAATTGGCTGAGACTCCCTTGTCTTCATGCTCCAAGCAGGCGGTGAAGTAGACAGGCTTCCAACTGGCACAGGGGGCTGGGACTTCGAGGTCGCCCTAAAGAAGGTAGGACAGGCTTTCTTCAGCAGCAGGCAAGACCTACCATGGGGGCAGTGTTGCAATCTCCCTCCTTGGTTGGGGGAAGGGACAGAGGAAGAAAGACATTATTCACTCCTTGGAGAGTTGGGCTGGCTCTGCTGGGCACCCCAGCTGGACCTGTGTTCCAGCCTTGGATGGTGGAGGTGGAGAGATAAACATAGCTCATTTGATATGGCTGGTCAGCCAGCAGCATGTGGAGAATGGGGTCTGTGGCCCAATGCATCCCTCAGGCAGACCTCAGGGTGACAGGCCTCAGAGCCTCATCCTGGGAGGCCCCAGAGGGCAGAGTGAGTGGGTTCAGTGGGAGGAGCCAGACGGAGTCCATTTCTGTTGCTGATAAAACTTTTCCAGTGGTTGGCAATGGGCTCCGAGTGAGTGCCTTCGCACTCCCTGGAGGGGCTGGCCCTGCCTCTCTGCCGCGACTGCCCTAGCACTGCCTACGTTGTCGTGGTGCCTGGCCCCACTGCACAGGTGGGCCAAGGACCCAGGCCAGGCAACTTGGTCCCCGCCAGACCCTCCATCCCTGGGGCTCACAGACCCGGCACAATACATAACATGCCCTCAGATGCTGAGGGTGCTTCCCTAGCAATGAGGGCTTTATGGGACTAACATACAGCATGGATTGCCTTGCCAGGCCCAGACATGTTCTGCCTTTTCCATGGGAAGCGATACTCTCCTGGAGAGAGCTGGCACCCCTACTTGCAGCCCCAAGGCCTGATGTACTGCCTGCGCTGTACCTGTTCTGAGGTAGGTTTCTCCAGCCCTCTGCAAGCATCAGGTACATCTGGGAGACCTACAGAGAAGCTCCCCCTGAAGGAGGGGGAGCAACCTTAGCCTGCAGGGCCAGGCATTCTGGAACCAGGTCCCCTGGAGTTGTGCTGCTGACTGTAGCCGAAGGCCCTTGTGATGAGCTGCTCCGCTGCCAGTGTGACCATGTAGGAGCTGATGGCCACAGCACACCTTGCAGAGGTGTCTTGCACCCTGGGTCTCCCGTCTCTCATCTCCGCTCATGTTCCTGCCGGCCTCTGTCTCACCTGCCCTCTGCTTCCTTTCCACGTAGTTTTCCCGACTCCAGTGACCCCCAGAGTTGCTCTTCAAGGTTTCCCCTGGTTGCTAATGGCAGATGCCATGGGCATCTGTGGCTATCAGTGACTGCCTCTGAGACCCTGAGAGTGAAAACCCTCGGAAAGGCAAAGGAGGCTGTGTCTTTCTTCTCAGCTTCCCCTCCCTCCACCCAATGCCTTGTATAATCAAGCAGATGGTTTAAATGAGATCTCCCTGTGCTCTACACGCCCCAGGGAAGGGGTGAGGGAGAAAGGTGGGAGGGATGAGAGAGGAGCTGGTGGCCTAAGGGGCACGAAAACCCCTTGGCTTTTGCTTAGCTCCCTGGGGACACAGTGTGGGCAAACTTGGCTTCTGTGGTGTGGATGCCAGTGTGTGAGGAAAGCAGGTACCTACTGCTGAGCTGGAGCCAAACTCTCACTCTGCAGGGAGCCAGAAGAGGCCTCCCCACTCCTGAGGAGACCTGACAGAGTGGAGAGGGCTGGGATAGCCCCCTCCTGCTCCCTCATCCTGGGGTATTTGCCTCTGACTCCCCTACTCTTGCCACTGCACTGGCCTCAGGTAGGGCTGGGACACAAATATAAGTGAACCCCTCCCCTACCGTCCTCTTCCTCGCAATGACTGCCTCTCCAATGGTTTGCTCCAGCACATCTGAGGTCTGTCAGCCTTTTCCAAAAGAACTGAGGATGTACAGCCAGAGAACAAAAGGGAAGCCTCACAGAACATTCTAGAAGCAGCATCTGACCCAAGTGACAGAGGCCAAGGCCTAAGACTCACTGTGTCTTCTGCCCCAGAGTTCTCTCTCTCTCTCTCACACACACACACACACATACACAGAGCAGCCTTCACACCGCAGATATCTCCAGTACGCCCCGAGTCCCTCCCGCCGCCATGGCGCCCTTTCCCCTTTCACCTGGGCTGCAGTGCAGGCCTGTTACCGCGCGCGTCTCCTGCTCCCCACACGTCTACCTGGCCTCTCCACTCCACCCCACGGGCCCCGTCGGCTCTCATCACGCGTGGTGCATGCTCGCAGCCCCGGTCCTCTCGCCAGCAGACACTCATCTCCTGGTTCGCAAGCCTCCCCTCCTGACCAGGCCTCTCCTCTGACGGCTGTTTCTAACAGGACCTGACTCCTGCTAACCCAATCACATTGGCCTGTTTTATGGACGTCATAAATTTAACATCCGAAATGGTCTGGGCCCTGCTTGCTGGCTGTTTTATATCCCTCTCCTGTGGCTAGGATGTAAACTCAGGAAAAACATAAACTCGGTCGGTGCACGGCCCGGGATGGGGTGTGGCGCTGGTACGCATGCGCACGCCTAGCGGCTGGGCCTGGCGGGAAGTGCACGACCTGGCGACCCGCGTTGCGCCATCTAGGGCATCCTCATCTCATTTCACAAGATGGGGCCACAGTGCTGGACTCAGGGGTTGTTGACAAAATAGAGCAAGCGCATCTATTTATAAAATAAAGGTCCTGTTATCCACTCAACAAGCGGTGGCACAGGCCTTTCCTGAGGACCCGCCAGGCATGCCCAACTCTGCCTCCATCTTATTCCTCACCCAGAGGCTCCCCCAATGGCCAGAGAAATTTTTAGCATTTCAGGTGACACAGGCCCTGGTACTGCTTGCTAGCTTCTCTTAGAAGGGTCTGAGTTTGCCCTGCTGACATTCCTTAAGCACCATACATGTGCTGGTCTGCAAGACGGCCTCATGGCCGTCACCCCTGTCATCTTGCAAAGCAGTGACCTCAGGGGGGGCAGGGCTGATTCTAGGGGCTTCCATGGGGCAAGAGGCTGCCTCTGGGAGAAGTGCTGCTGGCTGCATTCATCTAATAGGCTCCATCTGTTTTTGCCTGTTTCTCTCATTTCCCTCTGGTTCCTTCCTTCATTGAGACCCCGGAGGGCACTGGTAATGTCTTGGCTTGTGAGACTGTAAGCTTATACGGGAGGGAAGGGCAAAATGGGGAAAGACAGAGCTGGGAAGGAAAGCCCGTGTTTGAAGATGGCTCAGCTGCATTTCTGCTCCAGCTCTGTGTCTGTTTGTTAAAGCACTTGGGTCTGACCTTTCCTGGTGTACCAAAGGCTTTGTCATCCCTGCCCCCCCTGCTCCCCGCTCCTGGAGGCTCATGGAGTGGGATCACAGGGCCCAGAGTCTCTTTAATGCCAGCTAGTTAGTCTCGTCCCATCCTGGTCACCACGTGTGGCATTCCCACCTCCATCACATTGCTTGGGTCTGTGTGAAAGGATCAAAGCTAAAGAGGTGAAGGTGTACAAGGTCGGTGTCCAAGACACTCAGGGCTTCTGTATGTATTTCTTTTTATTTTATTTTTTAAAGATTTATTTATTTATATTGGAAAGTCAGATAAACAGAGAGGAAGAGAGACAGAGAGAAAGATCTTCCATCCATTGATTCACTCCCCAAGTGGCCACAACAGCTGGAGCTGAGCCAATCCAAAGCTAAGAGCCAGGAGCCTCTTCCACGTCTTCCATGTGGGTACAGGATCCCAAGGCTTTGGACCATTCTTGACTGCTTTCCCTGGCCCCAAGCAGAGAGCTGGAAGGGAACTGGGGCTACAAGGATTAGAACTGGCACCCATATGGGATCCCAGTGCGTTCAATGTGAGGACTTTAGCCGCTAGGCCACCATGCCAGGTCCCTTTCCTTCCTTTCTTTCTTTCTTTCTTCCTTCCTTCCTTCCTTCCTTCCTTCCTTCCTTCCTTCCTTCCTTAACATATTTAATTATTTTTATTGCAAAGGCAGATTTACAGAGAGAAGGTGAGACAGAAAGCTCTTCTATCCGCTGTTTCACTCCAAAGGGCCACATTAGCTAGAGCTGAGCTGATCCAAAGCCAGGAGCCAGGAGCTTCTTCTGGGTCTCCTATGTGGGTGCAGGATCCCAAGGCTTTGGGACATCTGCTGCTGCTTTCCCAGGCCATAGTCAGGGAGCTGGATGGGAAGTGGAGCAACCAGGACTCGAACTGGCATCCATATGGGATCCTGGTGCATGCAAAGTGAGGACTTTAGCCACTAGGCTTCCACACAGGGCCTTTCTGTTTATATTTCTGAAGTGCCAGCAGTGGGACACAGCACCCAAGCAAATCAGTGGATAGGCAGGGTGGGTAGGGCCACAGTAGGGTGAGCCAAGCAACAACGTGGAGCAGTAGGCAGGAGCCAGTTTTTCAGTTTTCGGTCCCAGCTTGGGCTTAGAGCAAGAACAGAATTCTACAGGCCAGGTACGGGTGGGAGGCAAGGGTGGTTGGGCAGCAGGACTGACCCTTGTGTCCCCTTCAGGGTCCCCATGTGAACTGTTACCACCTCCGCTGCCCACCTGTCCACTGCTCCCAGACTGTGACAGACCCACAGCAGTGTTGCCCCAGGTGTGTGGGTAAGTACCCTGGCATCCTTTCCAATGCTGGCCTCCTGGCAGTAAGAGAGGCTGTCTCTACCCATTAGAGGTGTCAAGACACAGGTGCATTCAAGGCTGAGGTACAGCAAACTTGTCAGTGTTAAGGAGGTATACACAGCAGGGGGAGGGACAAGGTGAAAAAGCATCTGTTGGAGCAAAGGACATCCTAGGGCTTCTGTCTCTGGCTATAGTTAGGGGTAGCAGACATAGTTTGGGATGCAGAAGTGGGTGGCATTGGCTAGAGGGCGAGGGCTGGGGGTCTGGTGGAGGACACAGAGGAGTGAGTGCCTGGCCACTGAGATTTGTGAGACCATGACTTGAAGCATCTGAAAGCTTCTAAGCCTGAGACCCCAGCCAGTGGAGGTGAGTGAGGAGAGAAGGCCTCAAAAGAAGCAGGCCAGTGAGGGGCAGCCAAGGAGAGGCAAGGGAGTGCTGTGGGACAATACAGTTGGCAGCAGGACCTCCTGGTTAGCCATGGAAGGCCCAGGTCAGAGCTGGGTTTAAAAGCCAAAAAGGAATGAAATGCAGAATCCTTAGGGGGAAAAAAAAGGCTCAGTCAATTCTAGCATGAGTCTTGTCTTCCTTCCTCTTCCTCCTGTTGTGCCCTGCAGAACCTCATACACCCTCTGGGCTCCGCGTACCCCCAAAGTCCTGCCAGCACAATGGGACCACTTACCAACACGGCGAGATCTTCAGTGCCCATGAGCTCTTCCCTGCCCGTCTGCCCAACCAGTGTGTGCTGTGCAGCTGTACCGTAAGACCATCCACAATGCCTGGGTGGGGGCGGACCACCTGTCACCAGGTTCCCACACCCTCCCAAGTATCCTGTTACAGTACCGACACTGACTGGTCCCCTGGTATCAACAGCAGCCCTATAGTATTTCCTCTCAGCAGAAGGAACTTACTACCTGCTTTCTATCTTTTGTCGCTTATGGCTGAGGGCCTGGGGGTGCCCGTGATGATTGCTGAGTGAGTGACCATGTTTCTGTCCCAGGGCACCTGCTAGCCTGCCACAGTGGCATCTGCTCTCGGTACTTCAGCTCCCGGTGACTGTGACCAGAGCTGGGCCACGGGAGGTGGCAGTGCTGACTTGACAGTATTAATAGGGAACAGAAGCAAGATGAGTGGGGCCTGGTTTGGAGAAAGTCCCCCTTTTGCCTATAGGGCTCTGGAAGACAGGTGTATGGAAAGGGGGGCTATGAGCCTGGCAGTGTCATCCTCAGACTTAGCTCCTCCCCTGGGAATTGGCAGGGAAGCCCTGGCCCCTTAACTTCCCCACTTCCCAGTCCACCTTGTCTGGAATCTGGCCCATTGCTGATGTTCTGTCTAAATGAGGGAGCCGCAGACTCACATTGGAGCTCTAACTCTGCTCCATGTCCCCTCATGACCCTGAGCAGGTCCCTTCTCTGTAGTGAGCAGTTCTTGCAGGTCTGTATCCTCAGGTGTCTGTGCTGTGCCACACACGCACCCCTTCGCTCCCACGTCATGGGGCAGGGAGGGGCTCCTTCCTAGCACTGAGTAAACACACACAGCACCTGATCACATCACTAGTCCTGCACTCAGAACCATTCAGAGAAGTTGTCTGAGGTCCCACAGCCCGCAGGTGGTGGGGCTGGAGTGCAGACCTGGGGCTGCTTGACAACAGCTCACACTCCTTCCCCTGTGTTGCAATAGGACAGGGCTGGAAGAGAGATGGAAATGACAATGATGGGCTAGAGAGGGTGTCCTAGTGCCCCTCTAGGCCCTTGGATGTCTCTTCCTTCTTCTCATCTTCCACCTGTGACTCACTGTCTCCTTGCCCCTTCTCAGGGATCAGGATCTGTACTTCTCAGACTCAGTACAAAGGGACTAGGGAGAGGGCCCAGATGGACCATGCCTTACAGTTGAAAAGGTTTCCTACTTCAATTCCCTGATGCTCACATCCCAGACAGGCATGCTCCCATTCAACAGATGGGAAAGTGAGGCCCAGAGGAGGAAAGTGACTTCCTGGAGGTCATGTGGACACCTTGCACCCAGAGGGTCCTTGCCCAGTGCTCTTGCCTTTTCTGACTGGGTCCTGAAGGTGAAGGTCAAGGGCTTGAAGTCAGAGCTCTCTCCGGCCCTAGCCCCTCCTCCTCCCCTGGTCTAGTTCCCTGAGATGGCTGGTGGCTCCATGCCAGACCCTGCTCCTTTGTAGGTAAGGAGAGAATGCCTCTCACAGGTTGCTGTGACTAGGGTAGGATGCGGGATGGTGGCCCTACCACCCTGGTTGTGCCAGATCTCATCCAGAGCTAAGAGCATCAGGCCTGGTTAGTCCCCAGGCATGCATACATTTTATAGGCTGGAGGGTGACTGTCAACCTTCAGGGCCTGGAGCAAGAATAGGGCAGTGCAGGGCTGGGCCTTGTCCAGGAGCTTCTGCTGCTTCCTCCTTCCCCAAGCCCAGGGGAGACCCCCCAAAAGGGAGGGGGACTCTCTAAGCCCCCAAGGCTGGCCTTCAGCAGATCTCATCTCCTAGACCATGTGCTCTATTTGGCAGGAGGGCCAGATCTACTGCGGCCTCACCACCTGCCCCGAACCAGGCTGCCCAGCTCCCCTCCCACTACCTGACTCCTGCTGCCAGGCCTGCACAGGTGAGTCTGCCCCTGGCACCCCCAGTGCCCACCCTGCTCTCCTCCAGGGCTGTCAGAGCCAGAGCAGCTCCATGGGGGAGCTGGCAGGGTATTTCTTCCTCTGCTTGGGAAAGTAGAGCCTGTGGCAGCAGCTGAAGTGCCACTTTTCTCTTTTCCTTCTTTTCTTGCAGTCACAGGGAGCAGGAATGAGGGTATAGGGAAAGAAAGAAGTGACACAATGCTTCTGCTTGATTAGCAGGTGCCACCCATTGCTCTACCTGGCCTTGAGTTTCTCAGAACAATCTGGGGTGGTGGGTGGGGGGAGTGGAGAGAATTCAGCTGTCATTTTGTATGGACCAAAGGTGTGCTCCAGGGAGCTGGTTCCTGCATTCCCTGTCCTGTTGTGCATGCATGTATGCATGGCAGGAGAAGGGTGGGAGAGACAGGACAGCTGTGAGCTGGAACCCTGCAGAGGGTGCCTGAGACAAAGTGCCTGCCATCAGATGAGGCCAAGGATCTAAAGCAGCACCTGGATGGGCAGGGGGTGGCTATACAGACAACTCGCATTTCCTCCCTCAGACACAGACTAGGAAGGGAAGTCTGGACTTGAGCAGGAGGAAGCGGTGGTTCTATTAATTGTGGGTCAGGAGGTGGGCAAGGAAAGCTTCCTGGAGGTAGAATGGTCTACATGGAACATTTTCCTCCAGTGTTGATGCCTTGGAAGGCATGCTGGACCAGGAGGTGGGTATTGGCAGCTTAATCCTGGTTCTGTCGCCACGAGTTCTTCCCTCCTGTGGCCTTAGTTACACGCTTTCTGCGAGGGTGACCCTGGGAATGACTAGTAGTTGGTTTCACGTTTGGGCTCTGCAGCAGAAATGTTTGGGGACAGCTCCCCTGTATGGTGTGGCAAGACCCGGAGAGAGAGAAGGTCACTGGGTGGTGGGTTGGCTGCAGTGGGTTTTGTGTGGCTGGCTCCCAGGGACACTGGAGCAGGAAGGTAGGGTTCTAGGACCATGTGGTGTCAGCCAAGGCCTCACGGCTTCCAGAGTGACTTAGAGCAGTGGATAGCTTAGTGTCCCAGAGAGGAAACTTTTATGGGTGAACAGGATGCTCTGGCCCATCTGGGAGGTCAGTGTGGGAAGACTGAACAGCCTCAGGGACTGCATCAGCCGGCAAGCAGAGGCTGTAGTGAGAAGTGGCAGCAAGTCTGCACCAAGGACAAGGACCCTGCCTGCAGGGGATGGAGTGGCCTTGGGGTTGCAGCCAGTGAGGCTGAGCAGTCTAAGCCTGACTTGGCCCCCCATTGAGTCTGCAGATGGGGTGAGAGAGCAGCCTGCTGAGGAGAACACCGAAGCACACAATGGGGCGGTGAGTGCTGGCTTCCCTGCTCAGTTACTGTGGCAACCCCTGGCTCCAGCCCCTTCCCGAGTCTCCCATGGTGATTCCTGTCCAGGCTGACCAGGCTGACCAAGCAGGGGGCAAAAAAGCTCCAGGCAGGGCAGGAGGCCCCAGACTACCACCTCTCCCTCTCTTGGACACTGCTCCTTCCGTCCACCTCTGGGGATGCCTGGGGGGGTCAGTTCTGCTGGAGGGGCTCCCGGCCCAGTTCCCCGGCTGTATTCTTTGGAGTCCCCCTGCCCAGCTCTCATGCTCAGAGCAGAGGGAGGAACCAGTTCACTCCTTTCTCAGGCCCACTGTGTCCTCTTGTGTTGCCTGCAGTGTACATAGCTCCATGTGCTCTATTGGATTCTGGTGGGGACCAGAGACTGGATTCTCGTTCCCAGGGGCCTGAGCCCAGTCTCTCCCTGGCCTTCTGCTGCTACTCACCCCTTTCCAGGAACAGAACACCTGTCCTGTATCTGAGCTATTTCCCTGCTTTCCTCCCTCCTCTCCCCTGGAGGCAGTGTCAGCTGGGCCCTCCTGCACCTAGGTCCAGGTCTCAAGCAGCCACCTGCTAACTCACTGGGTGACTGTGGCAGGTCACCCATTGGGGCTTGGACGGTTGGGTTCCTTCTTGCCTGCATGCTATTCACACTTTTCCCCCAAAAGCCTGTGGGGTGTGCAGGGCCTCAGACAACTTTCCACTCTGGCAGCCCTTGTGCACTGAGCTCCAGGCCAATGGAGTCTGCATAGGGCAGGAGAGGCCAGGAGACAGCCATGGCGATGCTGGGTCAGCGAGGGACCTAAAGGACTCTGCTTTTTGTCTCTAGCCTACCTACTGCTCTCCCACAGGTCAGAGCTGCCTGATACTCAAACATTGGGCTCTGTGAGGTACCTTACTCCCTGCAGCTGCCCTCACCACCCACCTTTGCTGTATCTGCCAGCCCTCCCAATATCTGGTCTGCAGCACAGGAAATGGGCCCTGAGCTCCAGGGACCCCTTGTCTCTGGGTGGGGCCTGCTCAGGATCTTCCTGCTTGTGGGATGCTCTGAGACCAAGCCTCATGAAAATGGCCTGAGTCTTCTCAGACACAGGGACATTTCCTCACTTGCATCTCTGCTGTGTGCTCCTAAGCAGCGAGTTCCACACGTTTCTGATCCTGGGACCTGATGTGTCCCAGGTCAGCACCACTGCCTTCAGTAAAGGCTGGATCTCCAAGTCATCGTCCCCGGGAGGCCAGGAGTCCCCAGCCAGGCCACTCCCTGGGAAGTCACATGGAGTCCACCCCACAGACCTCTCTCTGCTGGGCCACCAGCCCTGCCACACTCACTCAGTGGTTTTTGCACCCTTCCCTTTTGCAGAGACATTCTCAGGATCCTTGTGTGGGGGACAGCATGAGAAAGAGGGCTCTGGGCACTCCGGCCCCCACAGCCCTCAGCCCCCCTTTGGGCTTCATCCCTCGCCACTTCCGGCCCAAAGGGACAGGCAGCACAACTGTCAAGATCGTCCTGAAGGAGAAGCATAAGAAAGGTGAAGTCCAGGCTCCCCCTCTAGCATGGGAGATGCTGAGGGGGCACCTTGATGGCTTTCTCCTGCCTCAAGTCAGTGCTCTCCAATCCTGACTTGGCTACAAGCCTGTGGACTCCTGGCCCGTGGAAGCCAAAGGAGCCCTTGAAGACATTGAGGCTGGGAGTCTTAAGACAGAGATAGTTCTGAGATGGGACTACATGCTCATTGAGCACCTGCCTCTCCTTGGAACTGGCATTTGCCCTCCAGGGCTCATAGACTGGCTGGGTAGAGTTTTATTGCAAGGCAGTGCTGAGGGCGAGTGCTTAATGGGGGAAGGAGGGAGCCAGGCAGGGCAGTTGGAGCTTGGTGCTAGGGGAGGGATGGGGAGCCAAGGTCACAGAGTGTGGGGGGGAAGCTGGAGGTCTTGCTACAGGGTACCCCAGCCAGTGAAGAGGGAGGAGTCACAGGGTTACCAAGTCCCAGCATGCCTTTTACGGACAGGATGTAGGTGCAGAGAAGGCAGAGGGTCCCACTGGAACTCAGCCGCCAGGTGGAGGCAGAAGTTGACATCATCCTGCTGCCAGGCTGGGGGCAATCCTTGTTCCCCTGGGGCACCCTTGAGGGCAGGCAAAGACCCTCCCCCTTCAGCAGGCTCAGCCCCAAGGATAGGGCTTGTTCCTGGCCTGTACTTCCCAGGCAGTGGCAAGCCCTCCTGCCCCACCCCACCCCAGGCTCTGACCCTTCTCTCCTGCCCTCCTGGCTATAGCCTGCATGCATGGTGGGAAGACCTACTCCCATGGGGAGGTGTGGCATCCAGCCTTCCGCTCCTTCGGCCCCCTGCCCTGCATCCTATGCAGCTGTCACGATGGCCACCAAGACTGCCAGCGTGTGACTTGCCCCACCGAGTACCCCTGCCATCATCCTGAAAAAGTGGCAGGGAAGTGCTGCAAAGTCTGCCCAGGTACAGCCAGGTGCTTGGGAGAAGGGAGGGTGCCGGGGCCTCTGGCAGCTGGAGGTATCAGACTTGAGGAGCACTCTGCCCAGGGCCCCGGGCTGCAGGAAAGGTCCTGCAGAGTCTGGGGTACTAGGGGGTTCCATGGGATGGTGAAATCTCAGTAAATGTGTGTCAAGAGGAGCAGCGGGTGCAGATGGGGCCTTCACTAGCTTCTCTTCTTCCAGAGGACAAGGCAGACACTGGCCACAGCGAGGTCAGTTTCAGCAGGTGTCCCAAGATGCCAGGCCGGGTCCTCGTCCACACCTCGGTTTCGCCGAGCCCGGACAACCTGCGGCGCTTTGCCCTGGAGCATGAGGCCTCAGACCAGGTGGAGATCTACCTCTGGAGGCTGGTGAAAGGTGAGTGTTGGCCGCCCCTCCTCCCTGAGCTGTGACCCCCACAGAGGCCCTGGCCAGGTGCCTCTGGCTGCCCATCACTAGTTGTAGGAGTTTATGGTTCCACAGGTTTCAGTTTGATTCTCTGAGGCTTCTGATGAAGCTTCTGATGAGGCTTCAGTGCCAAGGCCTCAAAGTGCTCCCTCTCCTGGGGGAAGGGATCATTGCAACTCGCAGGAGTCAGGTGGGTACCGCCAACACTAATGAAATTAGATGCTGGATGGAGGGGGGATCAGGGAAGGGCAACCTCCCCAGGTGGGAGGGGCTCAGCTCGTCTTTATCTCACCTTTTCCAAACCATGGAGCCTGCCACTCTAAGCCAATTCGACATCACAGTGCAATCTCTCATACAGAAATGTACCTGTGTGACAGGCTGCCCCAATACCAACTGAAGGTCAGGGCGAGTGTCCTGGATGTCGGAATTGCTGACCATTTGGTTTTATAGCACATCAAGTCATAAGATTTCCCTGGGTAGGGTGAAACAGAGAGCCACAATCCAGCCCGAAGGCTTTAAGGGGTTCTTAGTTCTCAGGTCACTTACCACTACAGATGAGCTTGGCTGGGGTGTGGCAGCATGTGGGAGAGGGAAGGTGATGGCAGTGATCATCCCCAAAGTGCTGTCACTGTCGCGTTTTGCCCTTGGCGGTCCAGAGAGTTAGGAGTTATTATCCCCATTTTACAGATGAGGAAACTGAGGCTCAGAGGGGTGAAGTGCCTGGCCCAAGGCCACACAGCCAGTAAGTGGAGGACGGGAGCTAGAGCCCGTGATTCGTGGCGTCAGATGCGGCCTGTTCCCTGCTCTGCTCTGCTCTGCCCTGCCCCCATGTCGTAGGAGGATGGATGAAGAAAGTGAAGCTGTTCATCCTGGAGGAGAGAAGACTCTGCAGGGCTACCCCGGGGCAGGGGGAGCAGCTGGGATCTCAGGGACTGAGAGGGGCAGGCACCCAGCAGGGATTTGGGGGTTCAGATCCAAGCTAAGCCAGTGTGAATTCTGCCTGTTTTTTCCTAGCTGTGTGGCCTTGGACATGCCCTTCACCTCTCTGGGCCTGTATTAACTGTGAACTGGGGGAGAAGACTTTTGGACGGTTGGATGGCTCAGCATGGGTACAGTCCCTGACCTCTGCACATGCCAGTGTCCCCTCTCCTGCCACCCTGTAGGCTGGTTAGAGTAGCAAGGAGCAGCGGTTCAATGATAGGAAGAACAGTGTCCTACTTTGAGCATGTGACACGGGGGGTGGGACCCTGAAGGCAGCCCAGGGGTTTTGGTGCAGTAACCCTTGTGATTCCATGGAGCCTAAATATTCCATCAGTCCCCGGACAGCTGCTCTAGTCGTGTATCTACTCTGGGCCTCCCTCTGTCCACCTGTCTCCAGCAGGTGCTGGGATCATAGAAGGAGAGGGGCCCAGCCTCTGTCCTAGGGCTCGTGGCTTAGAGGCTGGGAATGAGGAAGGCTTTGGTTGAGGAAGGGCCTCTGTGAATCAGAGAGGCAACAGGGATGTGTTGCAGGCAGGATAGCAGTGACAGCCTCAAATCCCAGCTCTTCCTGCATGCCCCACACTCTGCAATTGGTATGTAGCAGGCACTGCATTTAATCTGCCTTGCTTAATCCTCATAAGAAACCTAAGGGCCATGTGCTTAATGTCCCCATTTTCAGGTAAGAAAACCAAGTCTGAGAGATCAAATGACTCACTTTATAGTCACCCTGTTCAAACAGTGAAGCAGAGTCAAATGCAGGTCCCACAGTCCCCGGTGCTGCTTTCCCAGTGGTGACCTTATGTATTGGCTGAGGGAAACCAAGGTGTGCCAGGATGTAGCTCATGGCCAGTCTCATCGCCAGGCCTAGCCAAAAAGGAGTGAGGTGGATGGGGGTTAGCCTTCATTTTCCCAGCACCAGGTTCTACCATCCCGTCACTAGCAACCAACATTGCCAGTCATCTCCTGTCCCTTTGGGGTGCCTGTATGGGTCCCCCATCTGCCTGCCTATTCCATTCCAAGCTTTGGGAATCAAATGAAAGCCCCCTCCTCCCCGCCGCAGGGCTGACATCAATAGGAACACTCCTATCTCCTTATTCAGACACAGAGTGACCAGGGGGACATGGAAACCTGTGCCACAGAGGCCCCATCACAGGACCAGTGCCAGGCACCAGATCTGGGCAGTGGATTAGCCCAAGACTAAGACCCATGGAGAAAGGACCAGAGGGGTCTCAATTGCAAGCCCTCTGATGGTACACAGGCCCACTCCCATTGCCAACAATGAACTGGTTCCACCCAGAGAGGGGTCAACTGCATGCTGAGCTGAGCCTGCCTTGTGTCCTGGCCCACCAGTCAGTGCCCACTCTGCTGTACAGACCCACAGAGCCAGCTGCCTTCTGCCCTGGCACAGCCCTTCAGAGGCAAGGGGCACGGTTATGACTCTCAGCCTGGTTCTTGATTTCAGGACAAGGAGCCCAGACCTTTCCACACCTCACTGTGTGGGAACTTATCTCGTCTCACCATCCTCTACCCGCTATTTTGTGTCCTGGGGAGCATGCCTGTTCAGAGGGACAAGATTGCATCTCGCCTTGTGTTTATAGCCTGCCACTGTGATTAGCCCTGGGCCACTGGCTTGAGTATCTTCAACATCCTGGTGCTTGAGGCCCTAAGGACAGGGCTGGGCATTTCCTCTTTCCTGGTTCCTGGAAAAACCAGCTCATCCCCAAGATCAAAGTTGTTCCCCTTGGACTCTCAAGGCCAGTTTCTTGGTCTTCTTAAAGGCCTTGCTGGTTGCATCTGTTCTTTTTGGCCAGTGACCTTGGTGGCTAACAGCTGGCATGGCCTCTTGACCTGTGCGGTACCAGTGGCCAGCTTCCTGTGAGATGCAAATATCAGAGGATCCAGCTGACCCCTCATCCCCACCTAGGCCTGGCCCAGACAGAGGACACATAGTATTTGCCTGTCTGTCCATCCATCCAAAGATTCATTGATTCTCCATGCCCTGTATGGGCCAAGCTCAGGGGTCCAGACAGGAGAGCCCTCCAGCAGATCCCAGTCTGGTGGAGGAGGCAGGAAAGGTTACAATGATAGCATGTGAGAAACAGGCACCAAAAACTAGTGGAAAGTGAGTATTAAGACTGCCTTGGGAGTGTCCCAGTTCCGATCCAAAAGCTGAGGAGGAATGTGTGTGAGGCCACAGGAGAAGGCAGTGGTGGTGGAAGGTGTTGCACCTGAAGGGCTGGCATCTGCAGGGGCTCAGCCCCTTGGCTAGGGCCGGGGCACAGGTGAAGTGCTGCAGGCCAATACTTGCTAGTCTCTAGTATGCAAAGAGGCTCACGAGTTGGGTATTATCATATGTCCTGTGCCCAGAGAAAATGCTTGAGCAGTCCATATGGGCCACTAGACCTCCCTGTCTTACCTCCTCCTTCCCTCTCTCCTCTCTCTGCTCTGTTTCCCACTCCCGCCAGCTCTATGCACTGTAGCAGAGGAACAGGGTGACAGCATACGATGCTGGTGACAGGAACAGGGGAGATATCGGAAACGTTATCATCAGGATTTAGGGTCAGCTTAGAGTGGGGGGGGGGCGGACATGGGTGGCGGGGAGGGGAAGGAGGGGTAAAGAGGCAGCCGGGGCAGCTGCGTGTGGAGGTCACCCTGCTTCGCTGACTGTAAGGCTTCTGCCTGTGTCCTGTCTCTGCTCCTCCTCCTTTCAGGAATCTTCCACTTGATCCAGATCAAGAGAGTGAGGAAGCAAGACTTCCAGAAAGAGGCACAGAACTTCCGGTTGCTCAGCGGCACCCAAGAAGGTGGGAGCTTGGGCTGAGGGATGGAGCCTGGGGAGGGAAGCTCCCAGTTGCTGGTGTCGGGAGAAGGTGTGGTGGTGGTGGGGGGGAGCCTTGGGTCACAGACGTCAGTTCCCAGAACAGGAATCCAGTGGGCGTCAGAGCCAGAGATTTCCTAACTCTGTCTGGGAGCTGGAAGCTGAAGCAGAGCTGCCTGGATCTGGTCTTGGGGTGAGGGAGATGAGGCTATAGCAGGGGAGGTCTGAGTCCCCGAAACCTGGTACTACCACACTTTGTCAACTAGAATATTCCTCATTGAAACTCCCCTCCGCTATCCCTTCCCCACTTATTTTCTTTCTGCTGCCCTCAGTTTGCCCCACATTACTCAGGAGGGTGGGCTCATGTGAGGCTTTGGGAGTCGGGGGGGGGGGGGCACAGCCACAGAACCACTGACAGGGATCAGGAGGACAGCCCAGCCCCAGGCCTAGGTTGTCAGAGGATTGGTCATGTGCCAGCATCCATACTGTGGGGGAACATATCTGGTCATGTGCTACTACCCATGCTGTGGACATGTGTGCCTCCATGCCCCCAGTGGACTTTTATACCTCAGCCAAGGCACTTCCTCCAGCCCTGAGCACTTCCTGCTGGCAGTTGCACACACTTAACCCTCTTCCTTCTCTCCTGCCTCGCCCCACACAGGCCACTGGAACATCTTCCTCGCCCAGACCCCGGAGCTGAAGGTCACAGCCAGTCCAGACAAAACGACCAAGACTTTATAACAAAGATCTAAACAGCTGCAGATATGAGCTTTTAGCCTTCATTTCTTTTTTATTATATATTAATAAATAAGGAGTTGCAATACCCGAGCCCTGCCTGCCAGATTCATATCCTGTGTCCTGTGTACTTTCACGGTGAGCTCCCTGGTGGACAAACAGATCCACGGGGCAGAGCCTGGTGCCAGAGCCTGGCGCCAGAGTCTCCCCACCTAGACCCTCATATGCCACAAGCCTGCTGTCCTCTACTGTGTATGCATCTGTCCCGGCCCCAAACTACGACACCTACTGCTCCCAGGGCAGCTCAGCTTGATGGTGCTTAGCTTGGGGGAACTAATACTTTTTCACAGATATGCCATGGCCTCTTGGCCATGTCAGACACCCTGTGGGATGAAGACCCCATGGTTAGGAGCAGGAGGCAGGCACAGAGCTGCTTGCTAGCAGTTCTGGACTAGGAGCCAGGTCTCCCTCTTGCTCCAGGCCAGCACTCCTTTGCCTGCTCCACATCATGGCCATTCATATAAGCCCAAGTAACCTTACCTCCAGACTCCCCATTGCCAACCTGGCACTGTGGCAGAGGCAAAGGCCTCGTAGCATCAGCTAAAGGACAGCACAAGCAACAAACTGTGCTTCTTCCACGTAGGCATCCTTCCCTTTTCAGAGGTATTCACAGGACAGTGAATGGTGCAGGAATGATCTGTTTGTAGAGGAGCCCACAGAGGTGCATGGGGAGAAGAGATGAAGCAGGACCACAACCCAGACACCTGGCCCCAGGCGGGGCTCTCACCACTGGGACCTGGCAGCCCCAGGATTGTGATGGACAGAGACCCATTGGCTGGATTCATGCTGCCTCCAGAGCCTTGCCCTCCAATCCAGGGTTGCTGGGGTCCAGAAAGTAAACTCAGCAGCCTAACAGTGCCATGAGCAGGGCTGCTGTCACGCTCTGCAAACTCCTTCTGCCAGCTCCTTCTTCGCACTTGTTTGGAGATCTCATTGAGGCCCAAGGAGCCTGGATGGAACCTCCCACCACCTTGGCCTCCTCTCTGTCCTTTCTAAAGGAGGCTTGCTCATATTGGGCCTGGCTTGTTCCCCACACAGGGATAATTAGAAACTTTGGGAGAGGGCACAGTTCTAAGCACCTCTAGTGAAAGCATTAGAAGCACAGTAATCTGAAGGATCCACCCCACCAGCTCCGAGCAGCACCACTCAGATGCCTTCCTCCCAGTGCTGCCTTCCCTGACACTGTCCCCTACATGCTCTTCCCCACAATCCTGGCCCTGCCCAGGCTCCTCCCCTGCTGAGGGCAGAAAGGGACATCCCTGCACAGCCTGCCTGACTGCAGGCCACTGCCCTCAGGGTTCCCTGACAGGCCTGACTGGACTCTGTGAGGTTCTACCCTATTGCAGGGTGGAGAGTCTGAGAGCATCCCAGGGCACCAGCTGCTTTGCTTGCTTCAGGCCTTTCTGAGTGTGTGATCTTAGGGCTCAGCAGGCCAATTGTCAGGTAGCTCCATCATACCAGGGAAAGACAGTGCTTCCCTTTCTGTCCTTAGAGAGCCTGGGTCTTGAGGAGGAGACAGAGGTGCGGCTGCACCCGAGAGCTGAGGGGGTGATGGCAGGGTCTGTGGGGACTGACAGGCAATGCCAAAGTGGGCTCTGCAGGGTGAGCAGGGGGAGGGCAGGTGAAGGTACAGCAAGAGACGATACCATGGAAGATGAAAGTAGCATGGGGAGCACCACAAAGGGCTCACTAGCACTGGGTTAGCAGGTGGAGGCCAAGAGCAAAGGGAGGAGAGGCTGTGTGTCCAGACAGAGGCCCTGCAGGCTGCCCCTGCCTGCTTGCAGCACAAGTGAGTGCCATGACAGTGAGGCTACAACCGGGGGAGGCTGCCATCAGAAGCCCAGGGTGGAGGAAGGCCCTGGGGAAGGCAGAGCACCTGACAGCCTGGAGATAGGGCTGAGGAAGAGGGAGCAGACAGGCATGAGCCTGGGGTCTCACCTGGTCACACCTTCAGGGAGAAGACACCTGAAGCTCCAGCACAGGACACCTGTTGCCTCAGGAGACCATGGCAGCCCTTGGGAATATGAGGATCTGGAGAGAAGGTGGAGCCAGAGACAGAGAGATGGAGAGATGGGGAAGTGGGAACTGCTAACTTACACCTGTGACTAAAGTCAGCCGGGGTGAGGGGCCTCTGGCCTGGGAGAGACTGTAGAGTGGAGACAGGTGACCAGAATGGAACCCAAGCACTAGCAGAGAAACAGCCGTGGAGGACAGGGAAATGCAGCAGAGTGTCAGTGAGGGAGCCAGAGATCGAGGCCTGCAGGGGTCTCCCATGGGGCTAAGGGGACTCCTGGTGCCCACGGCATTCAGCAGGGTCGGGGAGCTGAGAGGCAAAGGCTGGTTTCAGGACACTGAGGAGCAGAAAGAGGCAGGAATGGAAAGCGAGCAGTCTGGGGATGAGTGGTTGAGGTGAACTTCAAGGACAAAGCCTCTCAGGAAAGGGAAACGTAGACGAGATAGGAGTGAGAGTGGAGGAAGCTAAGATGTACGAGCCAGTTAAGTTGTCTTCCTCTTGGCCACTAACTTGCTGTGTCCTCCTGAATTGTCTCATGGTGAGTGTGAGGAGCTCTGGAGCTGCCCAGCTCTGCTCTTTCCCATGTTTCAACAGCTCCCGAAGGGAGTCCTGGGGGGATTCATTCTTGTCTAGCAGTCAGGCTGGGCACAGCCTGGGTTCTGGATGGGGCAGACATCCCTTTAGTGAACAAAGCATATTCAAGCCCACTGACTCATCTGAGGCTAGCACACTGAGAGAGGCACAGATTGGTACCCACATCATAGAGTTGAGGACATGAAGGCTCAGGATGCATTGGGGCTCAACAGATGAAAGCGCTGTTTAGGATACCATCTCCCCTGCAGAGTGTCTGCTTTGAGTCCTGGCTGCTCTGCTTCCGATCTAACTTCCTATTAATGCATCTGGGAGGCAGTGAATGATGGCCCAGGGGCTTGGGTCCCTGCCATCCATGTGGGAGACCCAGATGGAGTTTTGGGTTTTCTGGCTCTTGCAGGTATTTGTGGAGTAAACCAACAGGTAGAAAACCAGTCTCTCTGTCTCCCCCTTTTTCTGCCTTTCAAGTATATGAAAATAAATCAACATTAAAATAGGAAATGGAGGAGTTTATCCAGTGGGTCCTATGAATCTGTATCCTTATAGACCCGAGGGGGCCAGGCGCTGGACTGGGGCAGGTGTAGTTGATCTGAGTTCAGAGCCTCTTTTCCACCTGGCTTCCTGACCCCAAAACTTGATTATCCTATTAAGATGCCTTCGGGTTTTCTGGAGATGCTTCCTCTTTCTTCTCCTGGGGGCAGCTATGAAGCTACCTGCTCCCATCTCCCATGGGCTCTGAGTTCAGGGAAGTAGCAGCATTTCTGAGAAGCAGGACCTGGCCCATGGTTTGGCCTGGCCTGAGGCACCACCAGGCACAATGGCATCTCTCTGTCTGGGGCTGGCTCAGCAATCTTTCCCCCTGCCCTGCTCCCTAGCACACACGGCCGGCCGGCCAGCCTCCTCCTCCATCGTGGTAAGTTCATGGAAGACAAGCAGAAACTGCTGGAGTAGGTTCACTGGGAGGAAGGAGGAGTGTGTCTGTGTAGATAAAGGTTTTCTTGGGCCTGGATCTCCAGACCTCAACTCAAGACTGATTCGATCACCTCATGCTAGCTCCACCTGTATCCTCTTCTGGAACAAACCAGAGCTCTCATGACTTGTCCAAAGTCAAACAGAAATTTGAAAGTTGGGACCCCAGGTTCAACACTGTGGGGTAGTGAGTAAAGTTGCTGCCTACACCAGTGTCCTTGTCCCAAGGCTTTAGGCCCCTGCACCAAATTCCCATTCATGCCTTGGCTCCCACTGCCCCTGCAGTCCTTCCTCACTGCTTTACCTCATAGACATGCTCCAGGGACTAGTTTGCTACACTACCATGTTGGAGAGATCCAGGCTCTGGGAAGCCCTAAATTGTGGACTCTGACACCACCAGGAGGTTCTGTGTCCATTTCCAGCTCTGCTGCCCCTGCATGCAAGACCTTCCCCCTCTGAGTTCCTCTGTCAGGGTGCACAGCACAGCACCCAGCATCCTAACAGCTCCTAACTGTTGACATATGAAGGCTCTTCCCTTCTAGATCCAATACAAATATTCTGGGGAGTAACTCTGATTGGTCCCTACCAGGTGACATAAAACTGATCTTGGTGGGGAGGGAGTAAGGAAGAGGGTATTAGCATCATGTGACTGCAGTGGGATTAGCACAGTGTCCCCAAAGTAAGTAGCAAAAACACACAGTGGTCACAAACACGGAGTCTCCAAAGGGCCCCTTGTTCCTAAGCTGCCACTGCTACTGACTTGGGCCACTTTTTGAACCTATGTCCTCTCTTCTGTACTTTTTACATGCTGTTCCCTATCCCAGAGCACTTTTCCCTGTTTTCTGTCTGTATTATTCCATCTCATCCTTCAAACACAGCTCACAAATGTCCTCCCTGGTCCTCTCTGCTGCCCCTGCCCTGTAAGACTCATTCCTTTGTATTGCAAGGATTTACTTAAGAGACTTCCTCTCCCTGTGCATCAGCCTCCTGCATCAGAGACCATGTGGTGTCATTTCAGCATCGTTAGCCACCAGTGTGGTCCTTAGCCTAAGGGGGGGACATGCAGTAGGTACAGGTTGAAGAAGGGAATGTTGGACAACAATGGTGAAGGTGACAGCAGTGACATATGATTGACAGATGATTACATAGCAGCTGCTCAGAAAGTTGTTGTTGAGGAGCCAGTGTTGGGGTGTAGTGAGATAGATACCACCTGCAAGAATAGTATCCCATATTGGAGCTAGTTTAAGTCCCAACTTTTCCACTTCCAATCCAATTCTCTGCTAATGCACCTGGGAAAACAACAGAAGCTATTCCAATTGTTTGGGCCCCTGCTACCCATGGGAGAGTCCCAGAAGAAGTTCATGGCTTCTGG